CAATCTTATTGTTTAAAATAAGGCAAAATTTTTGCTAGAAATTGTCCATTTTATCCTGGAGGCAACAATGTTAAACATTTGCACATTTTATTAGTTTAATAACATTCACGCATTTTCTCATGGCTGTATTAATTCTAATAGATCCCCATGGAAGTCATGCTGAATACTTGCAAAAAACGATATATAGAGCTTCTCCTCCATAACACAGAAGTGCTAAAAAGCTCTTGAAGTCAGCAAGACTCTTTCCTTTGTTCTCCCCATCCCCCCAAAAAAGGATTTTTCTTTGTTTCAGCAGCTATTCACAAAACTTCTCCAGAAGTTTGTAAATTCTAACAGAAATGAGTTACAGCAACTGCAGCTCAACTGAAGCTTTGTGCAAAGACACAATTTATATTATTTTGTTTACAGCACCACTATCCTTCAGATGCTTTGAAAAGGCTGCTACAATCAGCGTATTTCTCTGGCATTCTTTTACTTACCAACTCCTGCTTCTTCAGGATCTGACAAAGGCTCTGGTAGACCTAGCTGCAGGACTCTAAATTTTCGTCACCAGTTCCTACCCCTTTTCCCTCTACTGGAGGCAGAGAGAGCAGAAGAAGCAAATAACATGTTAAAATTCATAACCAGATGTATTTAGCTTAAACTGCTGAAGTGCTTAAGTACCTTTGCCATGAGGAAGGGAAGTAGATAGGGGAAAAGACAGGACAAATAGCTTGGGCAGTATCACACCGCTCTAGCTCTTTGCTTCAGCACGCGGAAAAAACATTTGCAAGTACTCTGACATCCAAGAAAATATATCCTGAGCTTCATAAAAACCTCGTCTCTGTAACTCCAAATATTATGGACTGCCTGCTGATCACTAAGCCTTTGTACCCTAAACAATTCTTCATTACAGAAGTGATGTGAATTAATGACAAACAGATCACTAACCTATCTGCAGCCCTGTGGGGATGTTACAAAAGGCTGATGCCACAGTGGATAATGGTCTTCCTCAGGTGCAGTGCTATCAAAGAGTCTGAAGTGCTTTTTTGGTCTTGAGGGAAAGAAAAAAAGTCAAAAACCCAAGTGAGACAGTGTTTATACTTAGTTCATTATCGTTTATAACTATTTCCAATATTAAATAAAGGAAGATGAATGAGACCCCAGGACAGTTATTTCTAGATTAAGAGGTTTATACTTAATCCTGTCAGTTAGTGACCAGATGCTCACTGCTGTTTTAATACGAAGGGTGACAATGGCAGTCTCCTGAGTCAGACTGCACTTTTGGCTTTGACATCTTGTATTGAAGAGTTGCACATGCATTACCTTTCAGCTGAGTGTCCGAAGGTTTTTGGTTATCATCTCTCATGCAAATGAGCGCTCCTCTAGGCTCTGCCCTCCCTTACGCTGCCAATTATTCTGTATAGCCTCCCTCTCTGCCAGCAAAGTAGTTCAACTTTCCGAAGTTTTTGCCGTATGAGTAACTGATGTCCATCACTGTAATTTTCTGTTGCTACAGCTGAAGCAACCTTAGAAGAACACAGACAGAATGTGAATGTTAACAACATCACGCATTTCTGTGTCTCTTATTCCAAAATGTTCTATGAGCCAATGATACTAGTTTTGAGTCAGAGTGGCTAGTTAATTCAGACACCAACGTGTCAAGCATACACTTATCAAAAAGATTTTTCCATCTCAACTACGAGTTGAATTCCATTCAACTGTGGTGTATTTGAACTTTGTGCTCTTCTCTTAAATGTGTGTGGCACCTGAAATTTTTCCATCTTGATAATTTCCAAATCAGCATACATTAAGCCTCAGTACTACCATGGAACTCCAGGATAATCTACTTGATCTTTCCCTGTGCTATCAATGGCCTCCAATGCTACTGTGTATTAACACAGAATAGAATATTTCAGCTGGAAGGGACCTTCTAGTCCTTCCACTTGCCTGACCACTTCAGGGCTGACCAAAAGTTAAAACTTGTTATTAGCAGCATGAACTGCCTTCCAACTATCGATGCTTCACTGAATTTCCGTATTTCATTTCTCAATAATCCCTTATGAGGGACAGTGACAAGCAATTCTTCAGTTTTTTAACCAGAGTAAAAATTAAGTATCTTGCTAGACAAATAATTATCTTTACTGAAGACATTGTCTTGCCTTATGCTTAATAAGATGTTCAGTTCTTTTGAAGACATTTCAGATGGCTTTCACAAGATCAAAGTAACATTTCCCTAGTCTTCCCAGGAATTAGTTTCTTGGAATTAATCAAGTACATTTATTAACTTCTTATTCAACTGACTTAGAATGCGTTACTCGACTTCTTTAGCACTTCAACTAATTTTAAGATTCTTCAAAATCCATCAGTGATTCCAGCCAAGTTGATCTGTTGTTCTTAAAAACAAATTGCTCACAATTTCTTTCAACTTCACTTCCATGTACCACCCAAAGAGTCAGTCAAAACTATCAGGTATCTTCTGGCACAGAAGAAAATACAAGGTTTTTCTACATTCTGTATTTACTTGAATCCACCTCTTAAGGCCACAGGCTTATGGCAGTTTCTTGCCAGAAGACTAGTAGGGTTTCAAAAGACAATTTAAGCTATCCTTATTTTCAATATATGAAAATTTCTTACTTTTTATTATTTTTGCTTCAAAAATCCCTGCTGTATTTACAATTTTCCATTTTTGTATTTCACTTTCTACACATTTTAAGTTCCTACTGAAACAGTGGGGCTAGAGCTCCATTGTCTTCACGAAAAAACGGTTCAGTCTTGCTGTATTTATCTAAAACTCTTTTTTATTACTTTGGCATTGTCTTACATTCTTTGACTGCACTATGGCATGCTAAAATTTATCGACAATTTTAAGATATGCTTAGATAACGTATGGTGAACCAAAGATTTCAGTATTTTCATTTCTACTTCTTACCTATATAATAACCTGGGCAACTGGCTCCTGTTTGAGCAGAGGAGTTGGACCAGATGACCCCCAGAGAACCCTTCCAACCTCAACCATTCTGTGATATTTATCTACTATACTTATTTCTATAAATTTTCTTTCCAGTTTTTCTCTAAATGCATCAAAATATTCTATCTTTCATATATTCATCTACACAGAGATTCTGTCTACTCAATACTCAGAGAACACAATTGCAACTAAACTCCTTCCACAGTTTGCATAGATTTAGATTTTAGAAAACCCATTTATTTAGTACTTCTAATTCCAGAGTTGTCCATTCTTTAAAAAAAAAAAAAACACAACAGTAACTTCTGTCTTAACAAAATCCCCCAAAACACTGGTACACAGAACACTCAAATCAAAGAACTGAAATGCAGAAGTCTCCTGATCTGTACTTGATTTCTGTTAGTTCATATTGCTAACGAAGAATGGGAGCAGTGAAAAATGGCAGAACATAAAGACAGTACTGATTACAGTAAGTTGGAAAACATTATTTTCACATGGGTAACAATGCACAGCAAAGTAAGAGTAAGAGTAGTTTCCCCTTCACTAAATCTTCATAATGCATAAAACCACTGAAGCACTTTAAAAATATAAGAGTAGTTCCCCTGCATCCCCCATTCAAGTTACCAGAAAACACACATGATGTTCATGACATTGACCTGCTGGAGGAATACAGAAATATTTTGATGGACCTGATTATTAAACAAAGCTGCTGATTAAGACATGGCTCTGATTCCCACTGGGGATGGAAAGCAGGTGGCAGAAGAGAGATGCAACTGTTACTCAGCATTTCCTTATCGGTGAATAATTCTATCAGCCTTGGGAAATGCCAGTGAAAATCGGCACAGTTGCTTGTATAACAAACTGAACGCCGCCAAGGAAAAACCCAACATTTTCATACTCAGGAAGTGTGTCCAAGTGGACAAGTAGAATATTTTAGAATTTTGTATTTACAGAACTTCTTTACAGTTTCTGTGTCAGTGTAATATAGAATGTGATACAGCATGAAGTAAGATGTCAGGGGATAAGATTTTTTATTTTGCTATGTAAATCAGTGTAAGAGGAAGAAAAAGTAAAAGAGTAAAACCAGAAAAAAAATGCCAAAAGAAATCAAAGAATGAGAAAAAACAGATGAAGAAAAAACCAGACAC